TATTTTTAGTACATATTTACTGAGAAACTTCCATGTGTTAGGAATTGTTCTATGTACTGAAGAGATAATGTTTCTACGTTCACTGAGTTTGTACTTCAATGTATATTCAGTGAATATACAAATAAAATAATCTGACTGCATTAGTACACGAGAGGGAAAAATAAACAAAACAGGGCATTTGGGAACTATGTAACAATGGGAAGGAAAGAAGTTATTATAAATAGACTTTCAGGAATGGTCTTTTAGAGATGATAAGTGTCTTCAACATTATGAAGATATTTGACATAGTATCTAAAGAGCATTTGACATGAAGAAATCAACAAAATACAGACTATAGACACATGCAAGCTTGGGCTATCTAGGAATGATGTGACAGGAAACTTTGAAGAATAAAACATCTGTTAAGAGAGCAAGGAAAGCCTAATCATATAGTCATTTTAGACAGTTCTTTATATCATCTGTTCCAATGCAGTGGTCATTATCCTGTTCTCCCAACCCTCCCCCCCCCATGTCAGACCTGCTTTATCACAGTGGAATTATGCAGTATTTGTCCTTTTGTGACTGAGATAATTAATTCAGCCAAGAATAAGGGATCTATCATTGCAAAGAGAACTGGGAGAGGGTAGGTAGGTAATTGTACAGCTATGAATGAATATTTTTTTTTTTAAAGTGAACTGGAGGGAAAGGGAGTGTGAGGGTAAATGTGCAACAATGAATGAATGAAAATCTAACATCTCTGTAAGTGTTCATTAAAATCACAATCAAAATGAAATTTTATTTAAAAAAGCAAGGTGAGGCAAGGGTAACCATTTTTTGCTAGTTACAGTACATTATTTAGATATTTTCCAAATAATGAAAAGAAACTTCAGGTATTTAAGCAAGAGTATGACTTGAGCACATCTGAAATTATGATAAAGCTGTATGTTTAGTGTTTTCTGTAGTTAAATAAACTAGTAAGAGTCTATTGACAACAACAAGAGTCTATTGACATATTTCATGGAGCGATAATGGAAACTTGTCAGGTACAGCTGGATGTGTGTATCAGGTCCAGGTGCATCACATAAAAATGTGTATTATTCAGACAAAAGAATGATGAAAAATTTAACATTCTCTACAAGAACTATGTCTATCATGTTCTGCTGTTTGAATGCTCTTGTGAGTTTGGTCTGTATAATACATTTAATTTTATCAAATAAAGTACATATAGGATATAAAGATCATATGATTATTTCTTGATTTTTAGGACAAAATAAATGCATAACCTGGCCCAAAGAATACATAAAAAATTTAATAAAAAATAATCAGGAGTCAAGATAAGGAAACATTAATAGGAGGTAAAGCAAGAAATTTTTAGCAATTATTTACTATAAAGGTTAACTCAGAATACAGAATTGCAAAAAATAATGCGTTTATTAAAATATTTTAAGACAACAAATATATTAGTTGAGAATTTATTATTAACTCACAGCTGTCAAGTCAGAACCCATTCATATAACAGATTTTCACAGAGTTGCTTGTGAATTCCAACCAGGGGGCACCATATTCAGGCAACATTATGGACTATACCACCATAGTAGTGAGCTTATTTAAGTTATACAGAAGAGGAAAAGGTTATATTCTTACACAAGAAATATCTGCAATGAAATGCTCAAATTCAAATGGTGGATTTGGGAGATGAAAATGAAGAAAAGGAAAAGTTACTTTTAAAATTTTATTTTTAAATTTAAAATATTATAAAAGTTAATTTTAAAAGGTTGGATCGATTACTACTAGTTTTGAAACCTATAAAAATGTGGGGTTTTTTAGAATTGCTAAAATATAAATACAGACCAAATCAAAAGAAAATATGAAGAGTTTGATTATGCTTGCTTGCTCAGTAACTTTATATTGAAAATGTCAAATTATTTTGATAGTATAAAAACATTTCTCCAGATTTGTACATTTCCAGGTGGACACACCCAACTGTCATTAATAAATGTACACATAAAAATAAGTGTTTAAAATATTTGCATCTTCAGATGTTGTTTGACAAGATTCTAAAGGAAAATGTGTTTTTTTAAATTTTAACAATACTCATCTTTAAAAAAATTCTAAATGCTAACAGTACCTGATTAACACTGACAACGTATTTTTGTTTTTAAAATTTTTACTTTGATTTTAGTAAAAACAGAGGAATGAATTTCAGCAATGCAGAACTACTATCTGTCTTTCAATATATTCTTTCTAATGTGGATGGCTGGCTGTGGATGGGCAGGAACTGTATGAATGGGATGTTTTGCTCTATCCACCAGGTGACTGGCTATTCAGCATTCCACAAGGGCAATTTGACAGTTTCAATTATTTACAAGAGAACTGGCTAGTCTCAGCAATAAATTGAACAGCTCTAGATGCAGAGCAAAGAATCCTCCCCTATCAGAGAAGAGAAAAGAAGCCTTCCCACCCCTGGCACCGAGGAGGCACTTCTAGATGGCAGCAGTAGCCATGGCTGAACTGGAGAACTGATATGAGATGGGACTTTGGGAAGAGGAGTAAACCAATACTGGCAGGAGGGAGAATTTTGTTGGGCAGTTGAGCAAGAGCCAGTATTTGAAGGACTTGGGAAACCTTATGAGTCTAAGGTATCTGCATGCACATTTCTGGAGCTGTCTTGAATGTATTCTGAAACTAATCTGGATTATAATCTTTTAACTCCTTCACTATTTTTATGTGTAGTATGTGAGCTATTTCATTGGATTTTGAACCCAGTAAAGCAGGAAGATTGGTGGTCTGATTAGTAGAAAGGATGAGGAACACGTCTAATCTCATGGGGATTGTTTTTTTTTAACAGTTGGTGTTGTGGAAGGGAATGGTACATCCTCTCCCATACTATGAAGCTGGTAAAGGTCAGATATGTTGTCCCCACATGGCCCTTGCTCTTTTTAAAAGATCATAGAGGGAAACTGTGATTCAACCTCTTGGCACAGATTCATGAAAGATGCCATTAATGGTATGAGCCAAGGAAAGGTCAGATCAAAATAGAGATTACAATGAGTGTAATGTAGATACATTATGCCAAAGCTACACAGTTCAAATTCACTAGCTTCTCCATAGAAGGATGAGCAATTTCTTCTCAGGTGATTTACTGCCTTTGAAAACTCAGTGGAGGTTCAGCTATGAGTCAGTTCCTATTCCATGGCACAAAATAACAATAGTGATTTTTAGAATTTCCCATTTTGTGAAATTTCAACTATTGTATAAGCTTTTACTAGCCATGCAAACAAATATATATTAAGGGTACAGATATTTTTTAAAAATTATTATATTCTTCTACCCTTAGTATCTGAACACTGCCAATATGCTAATCTAAAATGGTTAAGGTTGTAGATATTTTAAATAATTTTTGGTACATATAAGTAAATATACATAATGGGAAATACTAGATTTCCTATTTATAAGCATTTGTAATTTTATTTATGATAGAATTGAAGTGTTTGACATGTACTAATCTTAACATTTTAAAGTATAATATTTATATTTAAATTTTACTCATATATTTCTCTAAGTGTGAGCATAATAATATTGTATACAATATGGGAAAGAAATGAACACAGAAAAAACCAAACCAAATATATATACAGCCATTAAGTCAATTCAACTCATAGCAACCTTCCATCTGGTTTCTGAGGCTATCTACATTCACAAGAAAAGACTATCTTTATCCCACGGATAACCTGGTATTCAAATGGTTGAGCATTAACAGTACAACATGTTACATATTACACCAGCAGCACTCTCCCTCTTTATAGACTTTTCAAGACCATACCTCTATATGTATGTATGTATGAATGATGTATGTTTTACTCTTTATTGGCAGTTAATTTTGAATGTTCTTATAAACACACTTTTTGATTTTAAGATGTTTTTATAGTAGTAATAAGGTTTGTGCTATTTTAAAAATCATCAATAAAACCCAATAACAACACTCAGATATTACTAAATATATCATTCTCCCATAACAGTTATTAAATCTCTACTCCTGAGATTTATAGAAGACTAAATTTATATTCACAAAACATTAATTCAATCTCATTCTTCTTTTTATTAAAAATATTTTAACTGAATATATACGTCAATTTTTACATAATTAAGACTAATTCTAAACTAGTTTAAGCCAAAATTAAACAAAGGAAATTAAAGATCGATTCTTCCCTTAAAACAAAAGCTAAATTAGTTTTAAATACATTGAATTAGTTATTTGAAATAATCTACCATTAGAAATGAGGAAATAAAAACATCTCCATTTAAGAACTATTTCCCACAAAGAGTAAATGAATTGAAAAAATATATCATTATCTATTTATGAGTAATTATGGGTAATAAATAGTTTAGCATACACTACATTTAAGATTTTTTTCCAGAGCTAACATTTTAATTGTCAACTTAATTAATAAAAAACCACAAACTCTCCTTCACTATTTGAGTCCTCTGGTTTTTTAGTTGAGCACTTATTTTTTTCAAACGTAAATGTCAAGAAACAACCAGTTACATAGTGAAAGACATTATATGCTTGTTAAAATGGACATCAGTCAAAAGAGGAAGAACTTCAATGAGATGGATTGACAGAATAGGTACAGCAATGGGTATAAGCCCAGCAGAGACTGTGAAGATAGTTCAGAACCAGACCAGACAGTGTTTCACTCTGTTGTATATAAGGTCACTATGAATGGGAGCCAACCTGGGGACACCTAACAACAATCTCTTCTCAACTATTTCTAATACTGCTTAGGGGTCTGCAAAAGAGAAGACCCTCATCCAGACAGACTGAAACAATGACTGCAGCAATAGCTCAAGTGTGTAAGAAATTATGAAGATGACACAGAAGACATGTCAGATCTGTTAATAGAATCGCTATAATTTTTACTCAATTCATTCCACCTAACAGCTGAAACAAATAATACAGCATATTGCCAGAATCAGCCAAGTACCATAGTGGAGTGGAAGTATTATACCTTATTTCCTACCTGTGTAAAGAAGGGTTCATAAATCTCAACTCCTTTATCAGATCCTTGAAGTAAGACCTCTTGGCCACGTCTCCAACTATACCGCACAGGTGGATTAGAATTTGCAACACAGCGAAGGAACACTGTTCTCTCGTAGTAAAACTGTTCTTTAGCTTCTCCTATACTCTGATGAACAGTTACTACTGGATCATCCAGATCTAGGAAAAGAAAAACAAGTAACAATATTTATTACATGGCCTTTAAAGTAGGGAACATAAAAAACTTTAAAGTTTCACATTTTTGATGATTTTCTTACCAGATAGTAAAGTCACATTTTCCCACTGTACTTAGTGAACTCATTTTTTGAGAAATTTATAATAAGGAGGTATACAAAAGTAATGTTCATTTCTCAACATTTCTATGTGTTGAAGTAGTACAGATGATCTTATATACTTAAAACAGTTACATAAAAGAAACCCTGAGCGCTCTCAGAACGGAAAAATCTTAAAATCAAGAGCTTAACTAAAGGACTACAGTAACCAACCAGAACAGGAAAAGTAATTATCAGCATTAATAACCTAATTGTCACTTTCCCTGAAGGATTTTCTTTTCCAAATAATTTCTAAATTATTTGTTAAAAATTATTAGAGAACTAGATATATGCCATCATGATATTCCTAGTAACCAGGTCTACTCTTGTATTGTGTTAAAAATTATGACAGAAGAAAGACCAATGTCTTTGAGCTGTGTTACTGGAGAAGACTATTGCACATGCCACAGACTGCCAAAAGAACAAACAGGTTTGGATTGGAGAGGGCGAAACCAAGCTTCTTTTTGGAGGCAAGGTTTTTTAAAGTCTCTCTCACGTACTTTGGGCATATTGCCAAGAATGACTAGCCCTTGGAGAAGGGCATCATTCCTGGAAGGGAGGAGAGACAGTGCTGGAGAGTATGACCCTGGACGAGATGGACTGACATAGTAACTGGGGTAACAAGGATAAGTGTGTTAGAGACAGTGAGACTCTTCCGGATATGGCAAGATTCAGAGCTATTGGACTTAGAGTCAAGTCACTATGAATTGCAGGCAACTCAATGGCACATGACAACAACAAGATTTTATATCCAGTATCACATTGTTAATTTTCAGTATGTGAACCTCAAACCAAACTCAACCAATTGCTGTTGAGTTGATTTTGACTCAGTGACTTTCTGTCAGGCTTCCGAGACTATAAATCTGTACAAGGAATGACTACCCATCTTGGAGTAGCCATCATGGAGCAACTGGTGAATCTGAACAGCCAACTTTTTGGTCAGCAGCACACCAAGCTGCATGTTATTCTATCAGAGGTCTGGAAAGTATTAAAAAAAATTACAATTTCTATTCAAGCAAGATTTTGAAGAGGATATGGAATATGACTGATATCATTACTAATATCAGGTGGATCTTAGCTGAAAGTAGAGAGTATTGCAAAGATGTTTATCTGTGTTTTATTGACTGTGTAAAGGCATTCACCTGTGTGAGTCATTAGATGTTTATGTTTAGCAAATAATCTGAGAAACTATATTACAAGACGAAGGTGACATTATCATTGGAAAAAAAATCAAATTTGAGATCACCCAATTAAAACCTGACCATATGCAGGTAACATAACCTTGCTTTCTGAAAATACAGTGGATTGAAAACACTGTATATAAACATAATAGTCTTACTTCTAGACAAATAAGCAATACTATGAGAAATATAGAAAAGAGTAAAGCTAAAAGGATTCCATTCTACTTAGACTCACAGTCAAATCAACAACCATGAGAGTAATGTTCAGTGAGGGAAATGGGAGGGTACAACAAGCTTAGATAGGACATTATGGATAATAGCAGGATACAATTGTAATTAATACCATAAAATGAAATATATATAAGTGACTGAGAGAAAAATTAATAAAAATTATTTAAAAAGTGACAAGAAAGAAATCAAATAACATCACATTAGGCAAATATGCTGGGGAAAAAATACCATACAAACTTCACATTTTTCAGGAACAAAGATAAATATTGAAGTCAAAAGTGCACCTGATCCAAGACCTGATATTTCCAACCCATTAGTATGCACTGAAAATTTGAGAAATGAATAAGGAAGAGAGAAGAATGTATGCCTCTAAATTATGGTGCTCATGAAGAATATTGTATATACAATGGACTAACCAACAATATGTCTTATCAATGTTGATAAAAGTAACAGGCTTGATAAAATGAATGATTAGCTAAAAAGAAGGCAGCCCTAAGTGAGGAACGCCACAACAGTAAGCTCAAACACAGCAACGATTGTGAACACTGCAGAACCATGCAGTGTTTCCTTCTGTTGTTAATAAGGTCGATATTACTCACAATCAACTCAACAGTAGTTGTGTTGTGTTCTGTATAGTTGGAACCAACTTATAACGTTCCTCAGGCAAGTTTCCAGAAGCATATACTCGAACAGGAGGAGATTGTCCATCCTTACATGTAGCAACTGGTGGCCTCCAACCACATGCCTTTGCTATTGCAGTGCAGTTTCTCGCAACTAGGATACTAGTTTCATTAAATTCTTCTGTGTCTGCCGATTCCTTTCGATCCAGTGACTCAGTATATTCTTTGCATCTTCTTTTAATACTTCCTGGATCATTTAATATTCTGCCTAAAGCATCTTTGATTATAGCAACTCAAGGTTCGAATTTGTTCTTCAGTTCCCTGACTTTAAGAAATGCTGAGCAAGTTCAATTTTTTTTATTTTCTGACTCCAGCACCTTGCACATTTCATTGTAATATTTTACTTTGTCATCCCGTGTTGCCTTTTGAAATCTTCTGTTAAGCTTTTTTAGTATCTTCCTTCTCCTTTGACTTCTCTGTGCTCCAGTGCAATATTCAGAGTTCTTCTGACATTCATTTTGATCTTTTCTTCCTCCTCTGTCTTTGTAATGACCATTTGCACTCTTACTGGATGATACTCTTGATATCCTCTGACAATTCATCTGGCCTTTGCTCATTAGTGTTCAAGGCCTCAAACCTGTTCCTGAGATGGTTCTGAAATTCAGGTGGGATAGACTCAAGGTCATCTTTTGGTTCCCATCGATTTACTTTTCCTTAGCTTCAGCTTGAACTTGCATATGAGTAATTGGTGGTCTGTTCCACAATCAGGTCCTGGCCTTTGTTTCACAGCTGATATTAAGCTTCTCCAGCGGCTTTTTCCAAGGTGTAATCAATCTGATTCCCATGCATACCATCAGGTGAAATCTATGTATATAACGTGTGTTTATGTTCCTTATAAAACATATTTGCAATGAATAAATCACTGACTGTGCAAAATTCAATCATTGTATCTCCAGCTCCATTTCTGTCACCAAGTCCATGTTTTCCAACTACTGATTATTCTTTTCTGTTCCCAACATTTGCATTCCAGTCACCCACTATTATTAATGCATCCTGATTGCATGTTCAATCGATCTCCAACTGTAAAAGTTGGTAGAAATCTTCTATTTTATCTTCTTTGGCTCTGGTTGTTGGTGCATATATCTGAACGATAGTGGTAGTCATAGGACTTACTTGTACACGTATGGACATTATTCTATCACTCACAATGTTGTATTTCAAGATGGATCTAGAAATGACTTTTTTACCTATGAAAGCAAACCCATTTTTCCTCACCATTTCATCTCTGGAGTAATATATCATATCATCATCCAACTCAAAATGCCCCATGCCAGTCCATCTAATCTTACCAATATCTAGTATGTCAATAATTATGCGTTCCATTTCTTCCTTAACAATATCTAATTTTCCACATTCATGGTTCTCACATGCCATGTCCCAATCACCAGTGTCTGCTTATAACTGTTCCTCTTCCTTTGTATTTCCATACCTGAAAGCTCAACCTCAGTTGCCCTTTCTGTTATCTA